CTGGCTCCTGCCTTCGGATCAGCGCGGTGCGCTGGCCGCAGCACGCCGGCCGCGGCGGCCATTGGAGGGTGAACCAACGGCAAAGGAAGACCTTTCTCTCTGTCTCTCTCTCTCTCACTGTCCACTCTGCCTGTCAAAAAAAAAAAAAAAAAGAGAGAGAGAGAGAGAGAGAGAGAGAGATTTAGAGACGATTGGAGACAGTTATGTGGCAGATACTAGACAGCTGGGTTTCAAGGACCCCAAGAAAATTCTAGGATCCACAGGCTACACGCTGAAAATCCAGAAGCCCAGAAAACTCAGATGAATCTGAAAACTCAATTTTGAGTTAGCTGGTAAGTTCTAGTATAAACTTATAGGTTGGCCCATGCTGCAGCTCACTAGGCTAATCCTCCGCCTGCGGCGCCGGTACTCCGGGTTCTAGTCCCGGGTGGGGCACCGGTTCTGTCCCAGTTGCTCCTCTTTCAGTGCAGCTCTCTGCTGTGGCCCGGGAAGGTAGTGGAGGATAGCCCAAGTGCTTGGGCCCTACACCTGCATGGGAGACCAGGAGAAGCACCTGGCTCCTGGCTTCAGATGGGCGCAGCGTGCCAGCCGTAGCAACCATTTGGGGGTGAACCAACTGAAGGAAGACCTTTCTCTCTGTCTCTAATTCTACCTGTCAAAAAATAAATAAATAAATAAACTTACAGATTACACAGTAACACAAGTTAAACCCAGCAACCCAGGGCCATAACTCACCGTCTACACAGTGAAAATCCTGAAGACTAAGGATGGCAGAGATGTCTGCCACAACTTCTCCTTTAAGTCAGGCTTAGATATAAGTAAGCACTGGTTAAAACACCAGTTAAATCTAACAGCCCAGGAATTCAGGCTAAGCCATCAGGGAGGCCTGACTCGCTGCCTCATTTCTCCTCTTTTCCAGAAGGGAAGCTGACTGTTCCACAGGACTCTCCACTGTGATGTACGGTTTGATCCAGACCTTACAGGAGGAATGACTGAACTTTTCTGTAATAGTGCCTAGTACTATTACTACTAGTACAGAGTACTATTACTAGTACAGAGGACCACACAACATAGCCAGAAAATGACAGTTTCAACTATGAGATGATTTCACAGTTAGAGTTGTTCTCCTGTGAGCATGGCAAATGGGCAGAACTCCCCTCTTAAACCAAATTGAGGGGGACATAGAACATTTTAATGATGACTTCAAACTATATAGACAGGTCACCACATTGGATCTTACCTGAAAGGTCAGAGTTCTCCTCATGGGCACGGTTTTAAGTCACAGGGAAACACTAAGTATCGGAATTTGCCCATGACCATAGCTTTCTAACTCATCCTCATGGTATTAAAAGAAATCTTCAAAAATTAGGGATGGGACTGAACGTCCCCTTGACTTACATCGTAAAGGCTGCCTCCGTGGTCTACTTCAGTAGAGACCAGGACAAACAGGAGTGAGCTAGCAGAAGCAGCAATGTAAGGATAGGTGGCAGGCCAATTACAAGGAGACCCAACAAGGCCAGGCCACTCCAAAATGGCCTGTGTTTTCAACATAAGGAGTCAGGGCATGGGGCAAGCAGCTGTCTGGACAGAATTTGGTTTCTGAACAGCCCTGTCAGCTCTGCCAAGAGCCACGTCACTGGAAACAGAACTGCCCTGGGGGTCAAGGACTCCTGGGTCAGAACCGCCGACCCTGTTGGCCCAAAGCTAAAAGGCCCTTCATTCCGCCCAGTTTCCAAAGTAACGATTGCTATTGCAGGGATGACCTAGGGTCAGTGATGCTGCAGGTCAGACTGTACATTTCCATTTAGAAACACTGCCTATTCTGTCCTAGCCTCCTGTTCACACCAGCTCTCCTCCTAGTCCAGCCATGTAACAGGACTAACTGGATGCCTTCCTTAAGGAGGTTCCCACCTCCCCTGGAATGTCTTGTCCAGCACCCCATGGATGGGTCTGGGCCTCACACATACCTGGCCAGGGCTTAAAGCCCACCCAGTTATTATTAAGCCTAAAAAGCCCCTCCCGTCAGTTCATATTTGCCTTTAAATGAATTAAAAAAAAAAAAAAAACAGGGCAAAGAGTAACAGCTAACTTGGACAGTCCTGCACCTATTTGGACAGGCCCTCACAGAGGACTTAAAGGGCCTATCTCCTGAGTGGGGTACAAATCAATCCAGAATGCAGATGGTTTACTTGTCTGTTCCCTTCACCAACCCCAGACTCTGCTAATTCATACTCAGTAACCCTTTGTCCTGGAGCAGGAGGAGGTGGAGGAGAAGGAGAAACAGAGGGAAGAACAGGACCCCTCTCCCTTGTAAGCCCCAGTCTTCTGAATACAGACTGCACGCTCAGCACTCGGCTCTCTGCTGAGCCTCCCGCCTGGCCTGCCAGCTGTATTCTCGCCATTTAACCATGTAACCTTGGTTTCCCCAGGCTGAGCGGGCACTCTCTCAGATTCTGTCTCATCTGTTCTGACGGATGCTCTACCCCGGTAAATTTTACTATCTTGCTTACCACTAGGGGGAAAAAAAAGTCATTGAAAAAGGGAGTAGAATAATGATCACTAGCGACTAGGAAGCAGGGTCCCCCTTAGAGAAAAGTTAGCCAATGAATACCAAAATACAGCCAGATAAGAGCAATCAAGTGTTGTATAGCACAGGTTAATGACAGCCTTCAACAATTTATGATGTATTTCAAAATAATTAGAAGAGCCTGAAAGTTTCCAACACAAAGAAATGATTGAGGACATGTAAATGCTAATTTCTCTGATTTAAGCATTATACACAGCACACATCTACTTAATTATCATAATATATTCCATAAGCACAAAAGGAAATTTACAAGTCCATGGAAACTTCCTACCATGAAAACACCATGCATGGATTTCAAAGTCTTTGCACCAAAATAATTTTAATTCCAGTATCCCATGAACTTTTTGACTTACTCTCATATGCACAAGTATGTCATTAAAGCTTTAAAAACTATATATAGAAAAGGCCTACCTCTGGAAAAACAGTACTCATTTCTAAATTGCTCACACACAGCTATTTGAAGTATGTCCTGAGGTTAGCCATCTAGTGCTATTTTGTTTTTACCGAAAAACAAGCATGAGCACCATGTCTGGAAGGCACCAGATCTACATATTCTTGGATTATGAGACCAACCAGTCTCTGCTTTCAGGAGCAGTAAGCAAACGTACAGAACCAAGTCCTGTCTAACCACGCAAATGAGCTCTTCCACTGGCTGCCTGCCTCCTAGCTACGTCCTTCAGTCTGCTCAGTCCACCTCTAGGGACAATGCATACTGGGATCTTTCAGAGGAACCACACATGCCCTGGCATCACCTGTCACCTGTGGGTAGACCCTAACCTCCCACTGCATTTTAGTGATGTCAGCACTGTGACTCTGGGACCACCCACACTCGCTTGGTCATTTAATCCACACTACTTCCTGCCGGCCCACTAGCACTGGGTCATGAAGGTGTGGGGCGGCCAGGCCCCTCACACAGCTCCCACTCTGGTGGGGAGACAGACGTTAGACAAATGAGGCCATTTCAGAGAGTGGTAAGTACTGAGAGGATGGAAGTGCAGGGTGACAGACGCACCGTGAGTCCTGGGTGGGCCGCACGAGCTGGGGCAGCCAGGCAGAGCCCCTTTAGTGAGGTGATGCTTGCACATGACTGAACCTTCATCACGCTGAAGCAGGGCCTCAGGAGACACAAGACCGACTTTGTCAGTCCTCCTACTGGCCCAGCTACACCCAGGCAGAGGGTGGCAGATCCTGTCAAGCAGATGGACTTGCACTCGGTTGTCAGAGTCCTAATAGAAATTACAACGAGCACAGCCACAGCAGTGCCTTTAACAGAACGATCAATGACATACAAAGATTTTACAAAGATCTGGCTCCGACTGTGTGACAAACACTTGCAAACAGTTGTACGTAACTGTGTTAAATATTCAGTGTTGAACACTGCAGTTCCTCAAGGCAGGGGAGGGACATCCTTTTGGGAATGTCCTCTGCCCAAATCCACAACTTACCCAAGGGAGCTGGGAGGAACATTATTTTATTGAAGCCACAGCTACTTCCGGTGTTCTTCTCTGTTAGTTACAGACAGCCCAGCCTAGCCCAGCCTGTATGAGTTAAGGCTGCCTGAACCCTGAAAAATCTTTGGACTCCAGGCAGAGTCTGGAGCAGCCTCCTGAGCTGGGGTACCGAGAGGGGCTGGGCGGCCTACACTCCCTCTAGTAAAAGGCCAGCTCCTGCACAGTCTTTGGATGTCACAGGGGACAGCAGGTTAATGCCAGATATGGTGGGTGGGCTCTCTCAATGGCCATTCCACCTGCCCCCTAGTTTACTTCTGTATTAGAGAGTCTAGAAAGCTGACTTCCACTTCTCAGGGTGCCGTGCAGCTACAGCGCTGGCATCTAGCGGGGTTCCAGTTTCACCTGGAGGACATCATCCAGGGGTCTTGGAGCTGGACCCGAGCAGTGCGAGGCAGCAGGCACAAGCAGGCCGTGACAGCTGGAGATAAACTCACAGGCAGATGCAGCTGGTTCTGCTGTGGCTGCCATGGCAGTTGTGGGCACCCGGTCTCTAATTTCCCAGGTGCCACAGAGTGGGAAGGGGCAGCTGAGGTGCTTCTGCTAAAATCCTAATGTGGCAGGTTGCTAACTTCACTGTACATCAGAATCACCAGGAACACTTGTTAAGACAGATTTATGGGGGCCCACCCCCAGAGTTTCTCACTCACAAGGTGCAGCCCAAGAATATGCCTTTTCTATCAAGTTCTTTGGTGGCGCCCACGCTGCTGCTGCTGCTGGCTGGGAAGCTACCAGACTACTCTATTTTTTATTTATTTATTTATTTTTTGACAGGCAGAGTGGACAGTGAGAGAGACAGAGAGAAAGGTCTTCCTTTGCCGTTGGTTCACCCTCCAGGGGCTGCCGCGGCCGGCACACTGCGGCTGGTGCACTGCGCTGATCTGATGTCAGGAGCCAGGTACTTCTCCTGGTCTCCCATGGGGTGCAGGGCCCAAGCACTTGGGCCATCCTCCACTGCACTCCCTGGCCACAGCAGAGAGCTGGCCTGGAAGAGGGGCAACCGGGACAGAATCCGGCGCCCCGACTGGGACTAGAACCCGGTGTGCCGGCGCCGCAAGGCGGAGGATTAGCCTAGTGAGCCGTGGCGCCGGCCCAGACTACTCTTTGAAAGTACAATCTATTTCTCCCGCTGCACTGTTCCTATGTGTAACCTGCAAGCCCTTCCAGGCAATTCCATGAATCAAAGCCCTCTCTGCTTAAGCTGGCTTGAGAGGATCCTGTTGCCAGCAACTTCAACCCTTGATCCATCTAACACCCTGAGTCGCATCTGCTGACACTCTCAGCACTCCTGCGATTCTCTACGGAATCCTCATCTTCTCTGCAGTGAGCCCTGTGCCACCACCGCTGGTCCCTGGCTGTCTCTCGTAGATTCTCATGACTGACGCTGACGGGCACGGGGACCCAGCAGAGGCCCTTCCACTGCACAATCACATCTGACCAATCCCCACTTTCTCTTAAGATAATCCAACCAGGAATCTCCAAGGAAGAACACGGTTATGGTCTACCATCCCAAAGGCACAACAGTATCTTGAATTTTTACACGGGGAAAAAAAAAGTAAAGAAATAACCAAGTCTTTGATTAGCCAAAAGTTATGGGCCAGAGATGGGCTTCAGACTCCGTTTTAAGATTTGATCCTCTTTTTTTCTTTTCCTGGTAAAGTATCTTAATGTGGAATTTATAATAAAAATGACCTAAAGGAGCCCTCTCTGAAGGGTATAGGAATGTGTAAGATTGATAAAATGGCATCTTGCTAGACATGTCCATTTAAAAATTGGTTAAAAGATATTATTTACCCAATGAACCATAAGGGCTGGGAAAAAATTCCAACACAATAACAGTCCCTCAGGTAAATGCCCCTTGAGACAGATTTTTAAATGTGTATCATTTATTTGATAAAGCATTGAGGTCTATGCAGAGAGGAGCTACGGTCTGCTGCATAAAGGAGGCCTTCAGACAGCTTTAAAAATGCATACTCTTTACACCCAAATGCCGAGAGAAAATCCCAGCGCGAAGCGGTTATTAGGACCAAAGAGCAATCACCTCTCACAACCAGGAGGCACAGTGGGTTGAGCCGCTGCTTGCAATGCCGGCATCCCATGTGGGAGTGCCAGCTCCAGTCACGGCTGCTCTGCTTTCAGGCCAGTCCACCTCGGAGGCAGCAGGTGATGGCCCAAATACTTGGGTTCCTGCCATCCACATGGGGGACCTGAACAGAGTTCTTGGCTCTTGACTCCAGCCTGGCCCAGTCCCAGGCACTGTAGCCATCTGGCTAGTAAACCAGCAGATCCAAGACTGACACTTCTCTTTCATGCCGATAGATAAATAAATCTTAAACACCCCCTCCTCCCAAAATCAAATACAAGAGGTAACACAGCCAGTGCATTTAAAAATTTTTTTTCTCCTAAGTACTTATATAAATGATCACTACTCGCTTCAGGGGCCTGGGCTGAGGGAGGGCCTGATTTCCCCTATGAATAAAAAAAATCAGACAGACAGGAGCGAACTCTCGTGGAGTTCAGGCTGGCTCAAGCGTCTCAACCTCTCCGTCTCGTCAGAATCACCTGGGGAACCTTCCCCAGCCACACTGGGGTGAGAGTGGGATGCTGACTGCTCTGAACTCCCCGAGTGATTCTCACCTGTGGTCTGGGACGAGCCCCACCAGGCTGGATAGAGAATCTCAAGCTCAGAGACTCCAAACTGCTTGTCCAGGATCACATGGGAAGCCTGGGAGAGAACCCAGGTGGGTTTTATTTTGTCCGCAATTTCAAGCTTTCTTCCATTGTACCCACATTTCAGATATTTCAGCAGTGGACAGGAGCCACATAGCCACACCACCAAACACTGAGAAAGCACAAGGGGTAAAACCTACTTCCATTCCCTACATATCAGAACAGTTAGCGCTTCCTTACAGTCTCCGAGATCCTGCTTTTTTCTCTATACTGTCTCTATTTGAAACATGAGCCACTATGTTTGCCTATTTTTAAATTTTATACTCCAAGTATTCAGCCTAACTCTAAAAGTCTCCATTGGGTTTTGTCCTAATCTGTTTTCGGGTGCTCTAACAAAATATCTAAGGCTGACCGAGAAAGAGAGAGAGAGAGAGAGAGAGAGAGAGAGAAAGAGAGAAAGAGAAAGAGAGAGAGAGAGAAAGAGAGAGAGAGAAAGAGAGAAAGAGAGAAAGAGAGAAAGAAAGAAAGTGTGGGGGGTCTGTCGCTATGGTGCAGTGGACTATGCCTCGCCTACGTTGGTGCTGGCGTCCCATATGGGCGTCAGTTCCCATCTCAGCTGCCCCTCTTCCAGTGCAGCTTTCTGCTACGGCCTGGAAAACCAGCAAAAGATGGCCCATGTGCTTGGGCCCCTGCACCCTTGTGAGAGATCTGGAGGAAGCTCCTGGCTCCCGGCTTCCACTCAGCCCGGCTCAGGCCATGGCGGCCATTTGCGGAGTGAACCAGTGGGTAGAGAGCCTTTCTCTCTGTCTCTCCCTCTCCTGACTGTAACTCTGCCCCTCAAATAAGTAAATAAAAGTCTTTAAAAAAAAAAAAATCTAAGGCTTGGAATCATAAAGCAGTTGAGTCATGGTTCTGAAGGCCAGGAAGTTCCGGATGCAGGCTGCTCTGTTGAGGATCTCCGGCTGCATCGCCATAGGCTGGGGAGACAGGAAGAGGAAGAGGTGAGTGCAGGAGCATGCGCAGCAGAGAACCAGGCACCAGCCAGCCTTGCTTTACTAGAAGCTATTCACCAGAGAGCTCCCACAGCTGCCTCCCCGGGCGGACCACCCCCCCCACCTCCGTGACCCAACTACCTTTAAAAGCCCCACTACATCACAACTGCTATTCCACTAGCAATGATATTTCTTAAAAAAAAAAAAAAAAGCAATAACATTTCTTCTTCTACTTGTTGTTAAGATTTACTTATTATTTGAAAGGCAGAGAGTGAGTGAGCTTCCATTTGCCAGTTCACTCCCCAAATGGCTGGGTGTGGGCCAGGCTAAAACCAAGAGCCACACCATACCACAAAGTGCTTGGGCCATCGTCTGCTGCCTTCCCAGGTGCAGTAGTAGGGAGCCGCCTCAGAAGTGGGACAGCTGGGCCTTGAATTGGCGCTCCGGTATGGGAGGCTGGTGTTGCAAGTTGTGAGCACCTGTGCCGCAATGCCAAGCCCTGGCAATTATATTCCAACATGAGCTTTTCCAGGATGCACCACAGCAGTTTTATATTAATTTCAGAAGTGAAAGTAGTCGCTGAAAACTTCAAGGAATACGAACATGCTCAGGATAGGAAACAAAAGGCCCTCGGCCTCTCCGCCCCAGTGTCTACAGGAAACCTTTTTTGTTCTCTGCACATTTTGTACAATTCTGTCATCTGTTCTTTTTCTTCTACTTAACCAAGTGCTCTGGGCATCTTCCCATGTTAATGCATACTGACCTATGTCACTGGCGGTAGTCCACTGAATAAATGCTCCATAATTCAGCTAACCCATCTCCTAGCGATACATCTAAAAGCCTTCCATCAGAAACAAGCACGTGAACAACCAACAGATTCAGTAACCCCCCATCCTCCAGCTCACACTCCAGTCTGTCTGCTGCTCCGGTAGGGCTGCCTCCCTGAATCCTGCAGACCCAGCCCTCACGCTGTACTCTGAAGATGGAGGGCTGGGGAGGAAGCCTCCAATGGACTCTCCGGCTTATGGTTAAAAAAAGAAAGAAAGAAAAAGAAACAACCTGCAAGGAGTGACCCTGATAATTCACCTCACATCCCAGGCAATTCAAGCCCAGGATGCACCTGAACTAAAAACGTGCCCTGGGAAACCCCCATAACTCAAGGACTTTAGGTCTCCTGTGCAGAGTCACCTTTGTTTCCCTAGTCCCGCTTCTTGCTGCTGGGTCAGGAAGGGGAGGCAAAATGTAAACAGCTATTCAGCCACACAGGTGTGCTTCTTGTTTGTTTAAACATCAAAGAAGCAAAGCAAATTGAAACTTGTTGCCCAAAGTTCGAATTTTGCAACAGCAAAATTTCAAAAAGATGCTGTTGAACCCAGAGATGCCACTTGTGGGCAACCCAGCCTAAGAAAATAATCAGGTTTGTGCAGAAATATTGAGAGTCCATGCCCTGAATGCAAACCTCCAGGGCTGGAAGCTAGGATCCACTGTTCACTAGCACATGTCTCCTCCTCTCTGAAGTGGGAGAACACCTGTACCTCCTCACTGGGCTCCCCACACAGAGCGAACGCACATCAGCCTTTTAGAAAAAGCCAGAAGGCTTTGTAAATGTTGGCTTCTATCATCAGTAATAGGGATGGGTTCAGTAATGATGGAGTTTTAGGTGGCCATGGAAATTCACTATAGGAAAATTATTAGGTGTGTCTGCGCTGTACGATTATGAGCTTCTGAAATATTTTTCACATTCTGTGAAGACTTCTACAATAAACACTGATTGTTTTTATGATCTAGAATTTTTGTTTTTAAAAAGCATTTGGGACATGTGTGTACTTCAGCCCACACTGCTCCTACTGTCATAGCCGTGTCCACGCTGCCTCAGCTAGAGCGGTGAACCCTTGCTCTGCTCTCTGGCTCTCTCTGGTATGTGTGACCCCTCCCCCAACACTACTGCCCCCTACCCCCCTACACCCAAAACCCCCACACCCCCACACACCTTCTCTTCCCAGGTAAGAGTCTATAAATTCACTCAGGCTCAACCATAAAAGACTCCTAAGGCTTCACACATGACGCTAGCTACATGAACACATTTTATCAGGGAATAAGGACACAGGATGAGACCCCTGAGAGTGCAATTTTAGGCAGCATCAAGATAATGCAGGAGGTGTTGAACAGTGCAGGAAGGGAACTGGCCTCCTGATGTCCCTGAAATCAAAACTTGTTGATTTGTTAGGCTGACTCATCCATTCTGTCTCACCTCAGCACCGTAGTCAGAGAAAATCCCTACCTCAACCAGTGGGAGAGCTTAGAAAGAGCTAATTCGCCCAGGTGAGAGTTTTACCCTTGAAAAATACAAGGCAGGTCCTTAATGAGCACATCAGACAGCGAGGAAGCGTCCTGGGGGGATCCTGTGCTGCTGCCTCGGTGTGGACAGGCAAGCCGGGAGGACCTCCCAGAATTACACATGCCTGGCTGGCTGCCCCCGGCGCCCGGCGCATGGAAGGAAGCAAAGATGAACATCCTTCCAAGTTCAAAGGTGCTATCCTGGGAAAAGGAAATGATTAGGATTTACATCTGAGCCCAGGTTTGTAACAAAGAAATTGCTTCATAATTTAAAAATTATTCATTCCTGCCTATGCCATGGCCTCATCCCTGGGGAAGTAGCAAGTCAACTGTATCCAATGAAGGATTAAAGATAATAAATAAAAGAGCGGCAATTAACTGTGCATCCCAATTTAACAGGGCTGGGCTGCTGGGTCACGCCTGAGTGGCTTATCAAATTTAGCTCTATTACTACTGTCTTGTACTTCAATTGATGCCTCTGTGCTTGTTGGCAGGCACGGGTACCATGAGGCTTTTCAGATATAAAAGAATCTGAACGTATGGATTGTTATAGGATTCTATCATTCTTACAGCACATGGCCAAAGTGTTGAAAATGGCAGTTTAATGAGTCATGCAAAGCGGCTCAGTATTCAAAGTCGTGGATTCAATTATTTTCCCCTTCCAAAGGCCATTTGAGTCAGCGTGGTATGGCTGTTTGCTAAGGCCGTGGTTCTCACTTGAATTTTGTGCTTCTTGCCCATTTCCCTGCATTTTTCCTTTCGCAATGACTGTAGCAATCAGTTGAATACACAGATTAATCAATGAAGAACATACAAGCTCCAGGGGAGCAAATGGGTCTTTAAATAGACACAAGCATTTCCAGAGAATGAATTTTTACCTTTATATCCAAAGGGACCTAAGCAATTAAAAGCAGTAACAAAAATAAGAGCTCTTAGCCATGTATTAACTGAGAAACCACAAGCAAACCACAGAAGAGGCAGAGAAAGAGGGATTGAAAGACCACAGGCTGAAGCGCTTGGGAGATGTAAAAGAATTGGAAATGAGGCCCATGACACCTGATGTGCTAACAGCTACAGTACATTATAGTGCTGACCAGTTAAACTCAGACTGTGATCCTCAGGATGTGTGTGGAGGTTAACCTGGTCATGACTTTGACCCAAGACCCAGGTCCTTTGGACTCTCCATGTCCACTTCTATAGCCACATCACCTCCTGTCTGTGTGTGATGAGCCTGTTCTCCAGGCATAACCTCATAAATTTAATTTGGATAAGGCAAGGTATGAGGGGTGGGGCTCTGCTGTGTGCTGGGATAGAGAAGGCAAACTCCCTGACTCGCAGCAGCAGTGTGTGTTTAAGGGAAATCCATTTCTCTGGAAGCACTGATGGAAAGCAAGGTGAAGACCACGGCACTGTTTCCATGTTTCTTCCAAAGGACCCGGGTCTTCAGCTGGCGACCACTACGACTGTCAACACAATGCTGCCATTACTGTTAACACTTGAACCATAAAGTGCTTCTTGTAAGTGCAACCTCAGGTGCTCAGAAGGGAGACAAATTGTCAAGCAAAACAGTCCACCTTGACAAGGGCTGTCCTGCGGCCCCATTATTGTAGCTTTCAGCAGAACACACCATCTCCAGCAGGCTCTGCTGAGCTCTGCCTGCACCCCTGCCCCTGCCCCTGCCCCCTGCCCAGTCAGTCAGTTCCTTGTGCATTCTCCTCAGAGCCATGGTGGGAGGCGAGGGCCAGGGTCTAGAGCCCAAGTAACAGGCCACGTAGGCGCCTGGCAGGGGATCAGCCAGCCACAGGGACTGCTTTCCAGTGGGCTGCAGGCAGACAGATGGGTGGTGACGCCGGGGCCGGGGGTGCATTTCCTTGCTTAAATTTTTTTAAAAATAACTTGAGAGGTAGAATGAGAGAGAGTTTCCATATCCCCAAATGCCCTCAGTGGCTGGAGCTGGTCCAGGGTTGATGCCAGGAGCCAGGAACTTCTAATCCAGGTCTTCAGCGTTGGTGGCGAGAACTCAGTTACTACAGCCATCACTGCTGGCCCAGGGTCTGCATTACCAGGAAGCTGGAATCAGGGGGAGCTGGGAGTTGAACCCAGGTACTGTGATGTGGGCTATGGGTAACTTAACTGCAAGGTTAAATGCCCTCTCATTTCTCTGTGTTTTGAAAAGCAGAGGGGGCTGAGTATTGTAGTACAGCAGCTTAATCTTCGGCTTGGGACACCCACGGCCCAGGTTCCAGTGCCGGGGCTCCAGTCCTGCCTCCACTTCCCATTCAGCTTCCTGTTCATGTGTCTGGGAGGCAGTGGAGGAGGCTCAAGTACTTGGTTTCCTGCCACCCACATGAGACACCCAGGTGGAGTTCCTGGCTCCTGACTTTGGCCTGGTCCAGCCCTAGCTGTTGCAAGCATTTGGTGCCTGAACCAGAAAATGGGAGATCCGCGCCCCCCACTCAACTCTGCCTTTCAAATAAATACAATTCTTTAAAAAGTTTAAAGCAGACGTATCCCAGCAGCCAAAACCCAAGACCAGGAGACAACCAGAATCGTAAATAGCAGCTCAGAGGGACTAGGCAAAGGGGCTTTAAATGCAGCGCTCACAGTGAATCCATCCCTTCCTGTACACTCACCGCCAGGGCGCAATTTCAAGGCTGGTACAGATAATGGCCTTGGTGAGGCCTGGTACAAAACGTCCTCCTTTCTGCTCCTGTCACAGCGTCCTTGGCCCCAGACCTCTGTAGGTGCCCTCGGTCTCCCCGCCAGGCAGAGGTTGCTCTGCTTGAATGACAAACCTAATTTTAACAGTGCACTAATTCTTTCACTTGCTGCCCTACATATTTTCATTTTCAGGCCATAATTTCACCTGCCAACGGAGGTAAATAGTCTTTAACAGGCGAGGCCTTTGAAAGGTTAGACTGTACTTGATTTTGTGCTGAGACTTTGTGCTTCCACTGTCAGGAGAGAGACTTTGTCATATAAACCAAGTGTCAATCGCCCCAAAGGGCAAGCTGCTTTTAGTTCTTTTTGGGGAAGCAAAGGTGGGTACACCTGCCCAGAGAGCCCCTCCTTGTCCAGCATTCAAGCTGTGAGGGGCCAAAGGGAACTGAGGAGTGTTCCCCTGTGACATTGTCACACCACGTGATGTAGCTCAATCATACCTGAGGGCTGGGGACAGCTACAGGAATGCTGACTTCGGAGAGGACAGTTCAAAATTGAACACGAATATCACTTTTGTCATCAAACAAGCAGGTAGCTGTCAAGAAAGAAAGGAAACAAAGTTTAAAACAACTTCCATGCACTGTACTATATAGAAATCAAGCAGAACAAAACAAAACGGGAGTGCGGGAAGGTGGGAGGCATTCTAATTTTTTATTTTTTATAGAAAGCTTTTATTTAATAAATATAAATTTCATAAGTACAACTTTTGGATTGTAGCAGTTCTTCCCCCTATACCCTCCCTCCCACCCACAAACCATCCCACCTCTTGCTCCCTTTCCCATCCCATTCTTCATTAAGATTCATTTTTAATTAGCTTTATATACAGAGATCAACTTTATACTAAGTAAAGATTTTAACAGTTTGCAACCACACAGACACACAAAGTATAAAGTACAGTTTGAAGACTAGTTTTACCGTTAATTCTCATAGTACAACTCATTAAGGGCAGAGGTCCTACATGGGGAGCAAGTGTGTTTAAAAACACATGAGCATGTGACTGGCATATGCTGCAGCTGGTTAATCTGCCACCTGTAGTGGTGGCATCTCTCACACGGAGCACAGGTTCGAGTCCTGGCTGCTCTGCTTCCCAATCAATTCCCTGCTAATGTGCCTGGGAAAGCTGAAGAATATAGTTCAAGTACTCAGGCCCCTGCACCCACATCGGAGACCTGAATGGAGTTCCAGGCTCCTGGCTTCAGCCTGCCCCAGACCTGGCCATTGCAGCCACTTGAGGAGTGAACCCAGTGGATGGAAGATCTCCCTTGCTCTTTTTTTTTTTTTTCCCTTAAACTTTATTTTTTATTTATTTATTTATTTATTTTTTATCTTTTATTTAATGAATATAAATTTCCAAAGTACGTCTCATGGGTTACAATGGCTTCCCCCCCCATACCGTCCCTCCCACCCACAACCCTCCCCTTTCCCACTCCCTCTCCCCTTCCATTCACATCAAGATTCATTTTCGATTATCTTAGTATACAGAAGATCAGCTTATTATACCTTAAGTAAGGATTTCAACAGTTTGTTCCCACACAGAAACATAAAGTGAAAAATAATAGATGATTTTTTTTTAAATGATGATGAAATCAGATCAGACCTATTGTCATGTTTAATCCCAGTGAGAGTCAAGTTGGGAATTGATAGTTTTTTTTTTTTTTACAGAAGATCAGTTTAGTGTACATTAAGTAAAGATTTCAATCGTTTGCACCCCCATAGAAACACAAAGTGAAATATACTGTTTGAGTACTCGTTATAGCATTAAGCCTCAGTGTACAGCACATTAAGGACAGAGATCCTACATGAGGAGTAAGTGCACAGTGACTCCTGTTGTTGACTTTACAAATTGACACTCCTGTTTATGGCATCAGTAATCTCCCTATGCACCAGTCATGAGTTTCCAAGGCTATGGAAGCCCCTTGAGTTCTCCGACTCTTATCTTGTTTAGACACGGTCATAGTCAAAGTGGAGGTTCTCTCCTCCCTTCAGAGAAAGGCACCTCCCTCTTTGAAGACCTGTTCTTTCCACTGGGATCTCACTCACAGAGATCTTTTTGCCAGAGTGTCTTGGCTTTCCATGCCTGAAATACTCTCATGGGCTTTTCAGCCAGATCCGAGTGCCTTTAGGGCTGATTCTGAGGCCAGAGTGCTATTTAGGACATCCGCCATTCTATGAGTCTGCTGAGTATCTCACTTCCCATGTTGGATCACTCTCCCCTTTATTTATTCTATCGGTTAGTGTTAGCAGATACTAGACTTGTTTATGTGCTCCCTTTGACTCTTAGTCCTTTCATTATGATCAATTGTGAACTGAAATTGATCACTTGGAATAGTGAGATGGCATTGGCACATGCCACCTTGATGGGATTGAATTGGAATCCCCTAGTATGTTTCCAACTCTACCAATTGGGGCAAGTCAGCCCGAGCATGCCCCAAATTATACATCTCTTCCCTCTCTTATACCCACTTTTATGTTTAACAGGGATCACATTTCAGTTAATTTTCAACACTTAAGAATAACTGTGTGATAATTACAGAATTAAACCAGTCATATTAAGTAGAACAGACAAAAAAACAATACTATGAGGGATAATGTATTAAGTTGTCCATTAGCAGTCAGGGCTATGCTGATCAAGTCACCATTTCTCATAGTGTCCATTTCACTTCAGGAGGTTTCCTTTTTGGTGTTCAGTCAGTTGTCACCGATCAGGGAGAACATATGGTATTTGTCCCTTTGGGACTGGCTTACTTCACTCAGCATGATGTGTTCCAGATTCCTCCATTTTGTTGCAAATGACTGGATTTCGTTGTTTCTTACTGCGGTATAGTATTCTAAAGAATACATATCCCATAATTTCTTTATCCAGTCTACCATTGATGGGCATTTAGGTTGGTTCCAGGTCTTGGCTATTGTGAATTGTGCTGCAATAAACATTAGGGTGCAGACCGCTTTTTTCTTTATCAATTTAAACTCCTTTGGGTAAATTCCAAGGAGTGGGATGGCTGGGTCGAACGTTAGGGTTATATTCAGGTTTCTGAGGAATCTCCAGACTGATTTCCATAGTGGCTTGACCAGTTTGCATTCCCACCAACAGTGGGTTAGTGTCCCTTTTTCCCCACATCCTCGCCAGCATCTGTTGTTGGTAGATTTCTGTATGTGAGCCATTCTAACCGGGGTGAGGTGAAACCTCATTGTGCTTTTGATTTGCATTTCCCTGATTGCTAGTGACCTTGAACATTTTTTCTTGTGCCTGTTGGCCATTTGGATTTCCTCTTTTGAAAAATGTCTATTGAAGTCCTTGGCCCATCTCTTAAGTGGGTTGTTGGTTTTGTTTTTGTGGAGTTTCTTGATCTCTTTGTAGATTCTGGTTATTAACCCTTTATCTGTTGCATAGTTTGCAAATATTTTTTCCCATTCTGTCGGTTGTCTCTTCACTCTCCTGACTGTTTCTTTTGCAGTACAGAAACTTCTCAATTTGATGCAATCCCAATAGTTGATTTTGGCTTTGACTGTCTGTGCCTCCCGGGTCTTTTCCAGAAATTCTTTGCCTGTGCCAATATCTTGAAGGGTTTCTCCAATGTTCTCTAATAACTTAATGGTGTCAGGACGTAGATTTAGGTCTTTAATCCACGTTGAGTGGATTTTTGTGTAAGGTGTAAGGTAGGGGTCTTGCTTCATGCTTCTGCACGTGGAAATCCAGTTTTCCCAGCACCATTTATTGAATAGACTGTCCTTGCTCCAGGAATTAGTTTTAGATCCTTGATCAAATATAAGTTGGCTGTAGATGTTTGGATTGATTTCTGGTGTTTCAATTCTGTTCCATTGGTCTATCCATCTGTTTCTGTACCAGTACCATGCTGTTTTGATTACAACTGCCCTGTAGTATGTCCTGAAGTCTGGTATTGTGATGCCTCCGGCTTTGTTTTTGTTGTACAAGATTGCTTTAGCTATTCGAGGTCTCTTGTGCCTCCATATGAATTTCAGCATCATTTTTTCTAGATCTGGGAAGAATGTCTTTGGTATCTTGATTGGGATTGCATTGAATCTATAAATTGCTTTTGGGAGAATGGACATTTTGATGATGTTGATTCTTCCAATCCATGAGCATGGAAGATTTTTCCATTTTTTGGTATCCTCTTCTATTTCTTTCTTTAAGGTTTTGTAATTTTCATCGTAGAGATCTTTAACGTCCTTGGTTAAGTTTATTCCAAGGTATTTGATTGTTTTTGTAGCTATTGTGAATGGGATTGATCTTAGCAGTTCTTTCTCAGTCATGGCATTACTTGTGTATACAAAGGCTGTTGATTTTTGTGCATTGATTTTATATCCTGCCACTTTGCCAAACTCCTCTATGAGTTCCAATAGTCTCTTAGTAGAGTTCTTTGGATCCTCTAAGTACAGAATCATATCGTCTGCAAAGAGGGATAGTTTGACTTCTTCCTTCTTGATTTGTATTCCTTTGATTTCTTTTTCTTGTCTGATGGCTCTGGCTAAAACTTCCAGAACTATGTTAAATAGCAGTGGTGAGAGTGGGCATCCCTGCCTGGTGCCAGATTTCAGTGGAAATGCTTCCAACTTTTCCCCATTCAATAGGATGCTGGCTGTGGGTTTTTTATAAATTGCTTTGATTATATTGAGGAATGTTCCTTCTATACCCAATTTGCTTAGAGTTTTCATCATGAAAGGGTGTTGAATTTTATCAAATGCTTTCTCTGCATCAATTGAGATAATCATATGGTTTTTCTTCTGAAGTCTGTTAATGTGGTGAATCCCATTGATTGATTTGCGAATGTTGAACCATCCCTGCATACCAGGGATGAATCCCACTTGGTCTGGGTGGATGATTTTCCTGATGTGTTGTTGTATTCTATTGGCCAGAATTTTATTGAGGATTTTTGCGTCTATGTTCATCAGGGATATTGGTCTGTAATTTTCTTTCAGTGCTGCATCTTTCTCTGGCTTAGGGATTAAGGTGATGCTGGCTTCATAGAAAGAATTTGGGAGGATTCCCTCTTCTTCGATTGTTCTGAATAGTTTGAGAAGAAATGGGATTAGTTCTTTAAATGTCTGGTAGAATTCAGCAGTGAATCCATCTGGTCCTGGGCTTTTCTTTGTTGGGAGGGCCTTTATTACTGTTTCAATTTCTGTTTCAGTTATGGGTCTATTTAGGTTTTCGATGTCTTCATGGTTCAATTTTGGTAGATTGCATGTGTCCAGGAATCTATCCATTTCTGATAGGTTTTCCTGTTTGCTGGCATACAGGTCCTCGTAGTAATTTCTGATGATTCTTTTTATTTCTGTGGTGTCTGTTGTTACGTTTCCTTTTTCATCTCTGATTTTATTGATTTGGGTCTTTTCTCTTCTTTTTTTAGTTAGTTGGGCCAATGGGGTGTCAATTTTGTTTATTTTTTCAAAAAACCAGCTTCTCGCTTGGCTGATTTTTTGTAATGTTTTTTTGGATTCAATCCTGTTAATTTCTTCTCTGGTTTTAATTATTTCTCTTCTCCTACTAGATTTGGGTTTGGTTTGCTGCAGTTT